GAGTTAATGCTCTCAGACAGAGGACAGGGAGCTTCGGGCCCTGCTGCAAGCGACAGCCACAGAGGAGCCACTGGGAAGGACGGGGAGAGGCACGGGGTCTCCCACCGCACACGCTCACCCCTGGCCCTGAAACCGCCGGGGCAGCGAGCGAGCGGGAGAAGCGCGCGCGCTCCGGGGGCCCCCAGGGCGGCACGTACCTTCTTCCGCAGCCTCACTTGGCCGGTGATGACAGCCACCACATACATCTTGATGATCAGCAGTGTGCTGCAGAGCAGGAAGGCCGGGAGCACCTGGCCGGTCACCATCGCCAGCACCGGGGCAGGCATGTCAAAGGCGGGAGCTCTGGGAAAGACCCAACGCAGGCTGCTTGGTGGTGCCTGCAGAGCAGCCAGGAGGCGGGGAGACAGCAGCCAGGAGGCCTGTCCCCACTCAGCACCCGCCCACTCCCAGCTGCAGAAGCAGCTCTGCCACCAGGTGCTGCGAGAGCAGAGCCTTGGGGCGTCCCTCATCCAGCCTCTGGCCCCGGGCCACCCCTTCCTGACAAACTCTTAACCACTTTCTAATCTCTTTCCTGTTTAAAAAAAGAAAAGAAAAGAAAAAAAAAGAATAAAATTCAATGGAGTAGATTCGAAGATCTAACTGGCTTTATTAAGTGACTTGTGAATCCAGTGACTTCCCATCTAGCGACTAGAGAGGGAGCTGGGGAAAGAGAGCAGGGGAGTTATTTGTGGACCCCGACATCTTTCTTTTGAGGGCAGAGAAGGGGAAAGTTTTTATCTTTCGGGTCGTCCCTTTTTTCTGTGGGCAGTATGGGGGGGTGGAGAGCCCCACGTGACGGATTACGTTCCTGGTGCTTAACCCCAAAATTCCAGACTGGTTGATTAAGATTACGTATCTGGGAGAGGTCGGAACTGCAATCAGATCAGGTATTAAACTCAGGTTTGGCATCACAGGCTTTTAGCACAAGTGATGCCGTTTGGGATCTGTGGCGTTTTCTTTAACGGCCCTCATCTGTAAAACGGGGGTGTGCGCAGGGCCTGCCTTCCGGTACGTGCGACAAAGAGGGTCACCTGGCAGGACCTCCACAGGTGGCCGATGTTGCCGATCGGTGTCTATCTCCCTGAGAGTCAGGGTAGGTGCTGGGGACGAGACCTGAGCCATCTGCCCCTCACTCAGCCTGGACACTTGAGACGCAGCCATGCCTCCATCGATGCGACTTTGCTATCTGTAGTAGGCTGCATAATGGCCCTCCAAAGATGTCCATACCCGAACCCCCAGAGCCTGTGAACATGTTACCCTTATAGGGCAAACGGGACTTTGCAGGTGGGATTAGGTAAAAATCTTGAGATGAGATTACCCTAGATCCAACCCCCGGGGCCATGGACCATACTGGTCCAAAGCTTCATCTGTATTTGCAGCCGCTCCCCAGCGCTAGCATCACCCTCAGCTCCACCTCAGATCACCTCAGATCATCAGGCATCCGATTCTCGGTCCCTGGTGTCAAAAAGGATGGGGACCGCTGATCTAGGTTATCTGGGTGAATCCAATTTAATTACAAAGACCCTCCTAAGAGGAAAGCAGTAGAACGTATGGATGAAAAAAAGAGTTCTATGGAAAGAAACCTCACAGGGTGATCGGGTCATAAATTCCTAACTTGGCAGGTGTCGGCAATCACACCCCAGGCATCTAACTCTTTAGCAAAAGGTTTATCTTTGCTTTAAGCAAGCCCTGACCATTGTGTCTGTGCGTCTCATTAACGCGCCTTGGAAATAAGCCAGAATCGCCCTCGAGAGAACACAAAATCTTGTAAATTATCCTGTAAAGCGATCCCTGCCTCGCTTTCTTTTACCCGCATCTAATCTTCCTAACGTCCCCTCCTTATTTTCAACTACATAAAAGAGGCCGTGAAACTTATTCTCCGGCGCATCTGAGATCTTGCTCCCTGGCGCGTGTCATCAGCTTGGCGCAAATAAACTCATAAAAATTCTCTACAGTTTTGGACGTCTTTACCTCGGCGAATTAGAGGGAGGAATGAAAAAGAGAGAGCAGAGGTCACCGAGGAGAGAAGAGAGGACACTGCTAGCTTTGAAGATGAGCCAAAGAATGCAGGTGGCCTCTCGAAGCTGTAGAAGTCAAGGAAATGAATTCTCCCTGAGAACGTCCAGAAGGAACCAGCCTTACCCACGCCTTGACTTTAGCCCACTGAAATCCACTTGGGGACTTCTGGCTTCCAGAATCGTGAGAGAATACATTTGAGTTGTTTGGAGAAGCTAAATAAATGCGTGGTCATTTGCAGCCACAGGAAACTAGCCCACACCTCCGCTGTCTCCTTCGGCCTCTCTTTACTTTTCCAGAGACCCCCAGGCAGATAGCTTGATTGCTTATTACAGAACTTCCCCAAGGATCCATCGGCTCTTCCTTCGTAGGAAGCATCAACAGTTCATGCCCTAAGATTCTTCGAAGCCCTTGTTTCATTCACCTTGCTGCGACCCCCTGCCCCTTAGTCCCCTTCCTCAGGTCTGGGGGTGGGACCTCCACAAAGGCAAAGATCTGGTCCCCGTGGTTTTGCTGACACTGCTTGCTTGGCTGGGGAAGTGGGGAAGAGGGAAAGTCAGTCTCCTGTGCCTGCTCCACCTTGGGCCTGCCCGGAGAGACAGCAGTGTTAGTCTGGCCCGTGCCCCAAAGCGGCAGAGACCAAGGGAAGGACTGGTCAGAAGGCAAAGACGCTGGCCACATGCTCTGGACCCAGACTCAGCTGGCATAAAATCACAGAGCCAGCCCTTGGGGGCAGCTGTGTGGCTTTAGGCAAGCAGTTTCCCTCTCTGAATCCATTTTCTCAACTGTAAAACACAGCCGACAGTCAGCTACTCCCCACGCAGCTGAGAGAGAACTAAAGGGAGTCATGTCTAATTAGTAAGCACCTGGCACGTAGTCGGCCCTCCATCAGCATGAGCCTCTGGGCCTCAGTTTCCTCTTCCTCGAAATGGGGATAATAATTCCCACCCAGCAGGGCTGGCAGGAGGGAGACTCTTAGAAACCTCTGACCTTGCTTGCTGGGGCAGTGCAGTGGGGAGCTGGGGGGACCGCTTCTTATCCATTTGTAATGTGCCAAACCTTCTTTTATCTGGACAAAAGGTACACTAGCAAACCAACACCCATGTTTCTGGAGCCTGGGGCTGCCAGGCAGGGTTGTCCCAGCCCCAAGAGATAATGCTAGGCCACAATCAGGGACACAGAAAGCACTGGATGTCCTGAAATAAGTTTTATCTCTGTGCGTCTGGTAGAACTGTGCATCTTGCTCCTTGGATGTTTCTGTCTGAGAATAGAGGATGCCCGCCTCTCTGGTCCCCAGCTCTGGGGAACCACTGGAAGAGGCTGTCTCCTTGTCAAAAAGCTCAGTTATGGGGTCTGGCGGCTGCACCACCCCCAGAATCATGGACCAGAGACAGCTCAAGAGGGGGCCCTCCCTCCTTAGATTGGGGGTGTTCTTTGCCCTGCTTGGTCTTCTGAAACAACAAGATAGAAACCTCGCCAGCAGAAGCTGGGAAAACCAGCCTGGGCGAACCACAGATTATTGCCTGCTGTCACCTAAAGCCGAAAATAAGAGGGACTTTGGAGGGAACCCTTCTGCCTGCTGTGTGTGACTTCGTGGTGGGAATCTCAGTTAAGCCAGGGCCTGGCAAGGAGGGCACATCGTTCTCTGATCTTCGGCCAAGAGTTCCCCTAAAGCCTCCTCAGTCAGTGGAAGTACCAGTTGTTATTTCTGGTGGTGGGGATGATGGGGTGTTACTTTTCCCTGAGCTCCAGTTACATTCTTTGCCTGAAAATTTGGATTGGTGCCCCCTGCCTTGCAAACTGGTGAGGCCTAAGGAAAATACAGCAGTGCCCAGAAATGAGGGCGAGGGAAGGCACTGGGCCCGCCCCTCGGGGAGGCATCCGGGGTGTTGGAGATGTTTCGTATCTTCACCTGTGTGAAGGTTGCACAGGTAGATATATAGGTAACAATCCACTGAGCTCTATCCTCAACATTTGTTACTTTATTGTATATGTTTTTTAAAGCCCAGGAAAGTGCTCCTGTCATAACTCTACAAATGGGAGCAGGGGAGCCGCTGCGTCTAAAGCCCCAGTGTGGCTTCTTCCAGCTCACCCTCTTTGGCATTTCCTGAGGATCAAAGACCCAGCTCTACTCTGTTTAATTGTCTGTGACTTCAGAGGAGGCCTAGAGAGAGGAGGAAGGGGCCCCGCCTCCAGCAGCTGGCTTCTGACCTCAGTGAGCATAGCTGGGGTTTTCTCCAGCCAGGGATGGGGAAACGCAGTGGTTAAAAAAAAGACTGTCGCCGAAGTGACCTTTTAGGTCAGTTCTGTATTGTAGTCATCACGGGGACATCAATGCCCCATTGAGAAGCAGTGTTTTCGAAATATGGCATGTGGTCTACAGGAGAGGCAGACTAGATTAGTGAGCTCTTTCTAATGGCTCTGCAGCCCCTCCTGGGGCAGAGGCCCACCTGGGGGGACCCCTGGACTAACCTTAGGATGAGCAATGCACTGGAGGACTGTTGTTTTTGTCTGCCAGCTCCCCTCCCCCTCCTACCATCCTCTGGGAAATCACACCCTTCCTTTCCGAACCTGTACCCCTATTGACTGTAATTCTGATGGGGCAGCCAATCAGAGGACTTCATCTTCTTAGTATGGGACGGACACGTGACCTGAGCAGCCAATCACAATGCTCCTGGCATCTGGGTACTGCGGATTGACTAAGCAGAGCCAATCAGAGGCTTCCCTGGGAGGTTATAGTCTGATAAGGAGACCCCTCTCCGCTCCAGGACTGGGCCCTGGGACGGTACTGGCCTGACGCTGTGTGCAGACATTCCCCCTCCCCACAGGGAGGAGGCCGTGTTATGGAGGAGACAGTGAGGCCGCAGCCTCTGACTCACCCGGGTCTAGGAGTTTCCTTTTTTGCTTAAACAAAACATCAGTCAAATCATGTCCCTCCTCTGCGCCAAACTCTGCAGCGGCTCCCATTTCACTCCGAGTAAAAGCCAAAGTTTGGACAACGGCTCATGGCTCACGGCCCTGTCCCATCGGGTTCTCTCTGAACCCCTATTTCGCTCCTCACCCCAGCTCAGTCAGTCAGCCCAGTCACGCTTGCTGGTCCTCAAACATGCAAGACACTGTCCTTCCTTTGGGCCTTGGCTCTGGCTGATCCCTCTGCCTGGACCTCTCTTGCCCGAGGCGTCTCCCAAGTCTTCGCTCAAACCTCGCCTTCTCCACGAGAGCCGCTCTCAGCGCCGCCATTGGTTCCGCAGCCTGACCCGCCCCCACTTACACGCCTCTGCTTTCTCTTCTCTCTCCACAGGACAATCACTCAACGGGTGACACACCTCAGAATTT